TGCAAATACTGGCATGTTCATGCCTGTTTTCAGGAAGGAGTTTCATATAGGTTTTATTTTCAAATATGCACAGTGCAACCTGCAGGGCCAGCAAAAGCACCTGGGTCCTCACAGCCAGCGGAAGCCCGACGTGGAGCAGCAGCAGTACTCTCGTGTGCTCCCTTCTCCGGGCTATTTCCAGCTCTCTAACTCCCTCTGCATGACAGCAGCCTGAATAACAAGGACATTTGCTTCTGGCACATGCAAAAGGAGCGTACGTTGAATTAAAAAAAAAAAAAAGGTCTAAAGTGGTAAATACAGAAAGAATTATTAGGCATTGAATTTAACTGGGAGTAGTCACATAAATAAATGCTGCAGAACAAGGTGCACAGCACTACTCAGATGAAAGAAGGGTTATGCTGTGTTACTACAGTGAAAACAGCATTATGACCCCTCCTATTCTGCCTTTACAGGCCCAGATTTCAAAAATCATATTACTTTCTCTAGTTTTAATTTTCAGTTACTTCTTGGCAGATCTAAGAGGTTTTGGTTTTTTTTTTTAAACCACTTTAAATGGGTTTTTTTAAGTGGTTTTTTTTAAACCACTTTTTAAAACCACTTTAAAATGCTTTTAAAGCATTTTATCTACCAGCCTGTAAGCCTTTTTTCGGTATTACCTCCCTTTCTTTTCTGAAACAAGAGGCATCCTTTGGAATTCCAACAGAACAATAGGGAAAAAAAATGTTCAACAGGATGCTACACACAAGTTGACATAATCCAAACATTTGTCAGGCTCAACACAGCTCAGATGGTGAATTTACGAGTAAGCAAGTTTAATGATATGAAAAGACAACAGCAGAATTTATTTAATTAGAAGACTTGTGTGTGAGCCTTTAAAAAGTCCATCTGGATACTTGTCAATCCTATAAATACATATTACAATGCACAGCTGTGCAGTGGAGTTCCTTGACAAGCATCCTTCACAACTCTGTCACCTTCCTAGCATGCCTGTGTCGCAGAATGGGGAACTGAGAAAACTTTAGGAGGAGAACTGGTTTTTAATTCTCATGTATCAACACTGGTCACTAGGAAAAGACTCTTCAGCCAGAGGGTGGTCTGTCATTGGACCGAGTTCTCAGGGAAATGGTCATGGTGCCAAAGCTGCCTGAGTTCGAGGAGCATCTGGATGACACTCTTGGCCATTTGGTTTAGCTTTAGGTAGTCCTGCAAGGAGCTGGGAATTAGAATGTTTGGTTCTTATGTTTCACTTCCATCCTGAGATAGTCGAAGGTTCTATGATAAATATACCTACAAGAAGCATACACTACATCATTTTTATCTATTTGAGAAAAATGAATGCATGAAAATTAAAACCACAGGTGAAAAATTGGACCATTAAAAAAGGCCCCCTAGATTTCATCCAAAAGCAGAACATGGCAAACTGCTGGAACACTTCAGAGCCCTAAAGAGGTAGGACTAGAATGGGTTTTACAATCCATCTACTAATTTCACCGATTTTGGGCAGGAAAAAGTAAATCTGTTCCTTAAAGGTATTTGTTTATCCTGTTTTAAAAAATAGATGGCCATTACAGATGGTCAACAATCTCCTAGCCTGCGTGTCAGTGTTTAGCTTACACAGTCTTTGGAAAGCTTGATTTTTAGCCCACTATTATATGTCCTGTGCATAAATGCAAACAGAGCTTTATTCCCTTCACCTTTACAGCAATGTCCCATGTTTCTTAAGATTTATAACCTAGAGAAAATAGACGCGTAAATCCAGTTCCTTTCTTTTTTGTCTCAAGTGTCTTAGTCAAGTGTTCTTCACCTCTGTTGTAACTCCACATATTCTTCAAGTAGTCTACAGCTTCCTTGAAGTGTAATGCCAAACTTGGACACATCATCTTAGCTTTCATCTCATCATTTCCAAGGAAAGACTTCTATGTAACCACTCTGTTTATGCATTGCAGCATTATGTTTGAAGCTGCTTCCTTTTCACTCTAAGAAGGACACCCTTGACCTGCCTGGGAGATCTAAAGTTTTGCTTACAATATACAACATGAAATGAATTCAGTTTATGTTTTGACATTCCGTTCAATTTCAACCATAATTCTGTGGTAAACACACAATGAAAAAGCCAGTATTCCTGGCTCCCATGCATGTATTCAGACCTCAAAATTGAACAGCTGACACAATCGTGACCCCCAAAAAAAAGCACTGGTGCAGCTAAAGTCAGGGCTGAGGAGCCCAAAATAAAGCAAGAAACATCAGCTAAATTAAAAATTGCTAAGGAAAATAAAGAGAAGGCAATTTTTCAGCTGTATAAATAAAAAGGAACCAAGAGAGAAGAAATTATGCCACTAAGTGGAGTTCAGATAAAAATAACACAGATAATGGCTATAAAGCTAATGACCAGGCATTTGGGATAAGATTAATCTGACCTGTTTCAGCTGTTCCCTCAGAGTAACACTTTCAGAAATGCTTGCTTCTCCCTTCTCCTCTCATCTAAGACAGACTGTGGCACTCACGTGGGAACCCATGGAGACTTTCAGGTAAGCACCAGAGCCACAACCCAAGCAACTTGCAGAAGCTTCAACAGGCCCCAGCAGGGGACACAGTAGAGGCACTTCAGTACAGGCAAGCAGAGGGAAACAGAACATGCTTCATCAAAAATAAGAGTGTTTGTTTTATTATCATAATTTCCTTGGCTTTTTTTCCTGCTATAAAATCATAATGTGTTTGTACAATATTCTTATTCTGGGAATGTATTTCAGTCCACATAAACATCTGCACTTAGTTACGTTAGCCAGTATCCAAATCCCAGCAAGATCCTGCCCTGATTATTTAGCTCTGAGTGTTTTTGCCAGCTTCTATTCCCAGAACACGCTGGATTTATAGCTATGTCCAATCTCCAGCTTTGCTATTTAGAAGATTGTAACACACATGCTCAAACTGAACATCTTTTGTGCTAGGACAAAGTCTTTCCAGCAGGCTCAAGTAACGAGCCATTAAATTGTGCTAGCATACATTAGCAGCAGGAAAGTGAACTATTGTTGGATGAAATATGTTGGTCTGTATTTTTAATCACACTGTTTGACCTACATCTTTTGTTTGCTTTCCTTGATATCTAACCATAAAATGCCACCCTTCATTCAAATGCCAATAAAACCTGTTGTCGAAATTTTGCATAACTCAGTGCAAAAGAACGCAGAACTCAAGTAAATAACTGCTAAGTCTTTTTTTTTTTGGGATCACTGTGTGCTTTTGTCTGCTGCCTTGCAGAGCTAGATCCAAGCCATTAATAAAAAAGAGATATATACAGTTTCATCTAAGAAGACAAACAAAAACATGCAGGATATAAATCAAAACAGATTTGCAAAAGAATAGAGTAAGCACTTACTAAGCCAAAAACATATTGTTCTTGTGAAGAAGCCTGCTCTGACCACTGTGCTTTCTCCAAATGTATGTTTATGGAGTTCTAGGCCAGAACATTTTTTGGAGCATAAAGACATGAAGCATTCGATCCCAGCAGAATTCACTGTGATCTGCCTAATTCTCATGGAGCTGAAGTTCACCACAGTTGGCACAAGCTTACCTTCCCAATGCAGCTTCTATACAATTATTCTCTGACAGATATTTCTTTGTAGACTTATTTTACATGACTGACAACTGCCTCGAACTGTGAATATGCTAATAGATAAATACATAACCTGACCTCTTCCCCTACCACTCCCTCCCAAGATACAACCTGAAAACAAATTTTATGCCTTTCTTCAAGCAAGAAAACTGCTTTGGGATACAGTTTCTTTGTATCTGGTTTGGATCTCTCAGCTGATGCAGAAATTTGCTTTGGTATGTGAAAACACACACATTACAGAAATAAAAGCTTCAGAAAGAAAAAGCAGAAAAGAATTATTAAAATGTATTTAAATCTTTTGAGTTGAAATACAAGTGATGTAACCAGTCAGCCAATGTAAGCTCACGTATTATCCATTCCTATTTTCCCCTCTCAAATCCCAGTTCCTGGCTCTGAGCAAGACAGCTTTTTTAGCTCCTGGTCCCTCTCCAAAGCAGGCAGAGATGAGAAATGCCCAATCGCCAGCAGGACCAGGTTCAACTGTTTCCCTTTCCCTCCAGCCACTCACCTCACAGAAGGCCAAACACAATTTTTTTTCTGTGACTGGACAGCCCCTGTCAGCATACGCATTTTGAAGACTGACTATTCAATGCTGCCATTGTTTAAAGACTGCCCCATCCAGTACTTGGTTGACAGACCCAAGGTTGCAGCCCTCCACCACAGCTTCTGCCCAAGAGGGGAACCAGAGCCCTGCTTCTCCAGCTCCAAAATAACACCCTCTCCCCAGGATTCTGTAGTCAACAAAAATACCAGGTCAAGGTACAGAGGGAGTCAGAGAGGTTTATGTACCCTAAACCTACCAGCATCCAGATTCCAGCATGCAGAAGTGCATAAACTATCTCAGAAAAGCTATCTGCACCATGAAAAAATACCATGCTTTGAATTTTGTCTAAGCAGCTTGAAGCATACAATATACTTTTCTAAGCCAGAAATAATCCATAAATAAGAAGATTGGTAACAGGTACACAGCTGAAGGTCTCCTCTATGACAGTCTCCTCCTCAGTGACTGTATACTGTTCTAGAAGCAGGTTCTGTTAAAGAGAAGACAAGCACTCGAGCATTTCGCAGTGGCCCCTCCCATGCACATGTCAAGAACACTCCCATGCTCTCATGGCTATGCCAGGTCATGGGTTGTGCTTCTAGACCCCAGCTGTCCCTAATACTAAGACTGTCAATAGAGGTTCTAAAGTAATAATAATAATGAAAACATATATAAATAAAGAGACAATACCTCTTCTGCCTCATTCATAGTGATCTGAATCTTCAGTTATTAGAGAAAGGAACACCTTTGTTTTTATTTGTACAGAAGCACTAGCACAAGTCGTTCTAGAAAAGCAGGCTCCAAATATCTCCTTGGCAGCCGGGGAAATAGGACATGAAAGATCACATACTATTTTAAGTGTAAAAAAGTATAAAATTTTATTTGACAAGTTAACAAATAATAACATTTCATTAGTCCATTAAAACACTTTATTACAAGGAAATGTAGTTGAGTTATAGCTGCACTACATGAAAGTTAATTCTAAGGTGAACAAACTGACCTACGGGAGAGTAGGCAGTTTAGAATGTACATGTCTACTGTATCCAGTTTATTTTTAAAAGGTATTTTGTACAACTGAAAATTTACTAGATGTCAGACAACTTCAAAAACTTCTAACATAACAAACTTCAGAACTATTCTTCTCAGATGACATCATCTTTTTTCAGAGATAGCTGAAGTTGCCTCACAGCTTTTAGCAGCTGAAGAGAACTTCTGCTCTTCTGCCCAGGACAAGGTTTCGACATATTTTCCTTTACAGTGACTGCAATCTCATTTGCTTCCTTTTGTTCACCGCACTTTAATTTGACGTAAGTTGCCCCTTGCTTCAATTTCTGAGTTTTTCTCTTTAATTTTTGCACCTAGGAAAAAAAAAATTACTAATCAGCATATACTAACAGTATATGTTACATACTCCAAAGACCCACAGCTGTAGAGGTGACTGGACTTCTACTGAACTCTAAACTACAGATAACTAAGAGACATTAAAGAAAAAAAAGTTTAAGCTTAGTAACCTTGCTCAGTTGTCTCACTGTTACAGAAAACTGACTTTGCCCATAAAGAAGCCACCACAGAAAACTGACCTTACCCACACTCAATTGGTTGTTGAAACCCATTGCTCACTAACATGAAAATGCTTGCTTGAGAAAGCTGGAAGATAATGTCTTAGTAATCTACATTTACAACAGTTTCTTTTCATTTCAGATTGTACTACTCTAATGAAAAAACCAAACAACCAATAAACTTCTAAAATGTATACTGTTAATTATCAGTTACTGGATCTAAGCAGCTTATTTTGAAGCCTCCTTAACAAAAGTGGAAAACAGAATAAATAGGGTTAATTGCTAAAGAATGTCTTTTAAAATGTCAAATAATGAGTCTTGACTTGCACTTGGCATGAAAAGGTCACTTCCCAAAGATAAAATTAGGCTGGAAGCATTCCAAATGCCAATTTAGGCTTTAAGTCCAGTTCTAAAAATAATTAACTTTAATTGCATTCGAGAACATATTATTAACTGTGATACACAGAGATGAGCATGGCACTTTTATGAGTATGGCAGGTTCTAGAAAAATAAATATGCATTAGAAATATTAAGATTGGTCTGTGCAAAATATAAATGGAAATGTCTGTGTGCAAAAACACAGAAAAAAATATACAGGCCAAGGAGTTAGAGGAATGGCCTGTATTGATAACCAGGACATGATGGACAGTAATCATACAGACACTACTATTTACAGCAGGACCCTAAGGAGTGTGCTCTGACCAGGCTGTACCAGAGCACAGAGGATTTGTCAGAAGATCTGCACACTGGTAAGAGGCAAAGAGACAACAAGGTTGCACCATGTTGTATGTGCTACTATTCATCATCCCAAAACAAAGGCAAACTCTGGCCATAAAGATATGCAAAAAGAAAGAAACCAAGGTGCAGTTGTTGAACCTGTCTTAGGTTCCTGAGGAAAAAGACAGCAAGATTTTGAGGCAAGGAGTAACACCATAATTGTTGGGTCTTCAGGAATATGAGTTTTATCAAAAAACCAGCTGACATTTTCAGGAGAGGCAGTGAGAACCCAGCAGTCAATGCCCTTTGTCCATATTGCTAACATGCAAGACTGACATATCTGCTATGATGTAAAGCACCTCTATGCTTGCAATTACATGGACAATAAAAAGTTTAAGTGAGTAAAATCCATCAAAAATGAATATGAATAAAACTGGTCAGATTTAAATTAACTAAATCCTCCTCTTTTCATAAGGTATCATGCTGAGTTTTGTTTTGTTTCCTGTATAAGAAAAGTTCTCAGGCAAGCATTTATCTTGAAACATAAGATGAAAAAACAGAAACAATCAGACAGAGCTATGGATTGAATGTTTAATCATATGCCCAAACCAAATTGCTACAAAAGAGTTAGGCCGTTCAACTACAGAAGAGGGATTTTATATGGGCATGTATGAAAAGTTGCTATCTATGGCTCTAAACTAAATACTGACAGAATGAGGGCAGTTTAAAGGTTAAACAAAACTGAAAGGCTTGCCCAGCTATGATTTTGGAGAAGCTCTGGCCAACAGACTAGTTAACAAAAAAATCTTCAATGTTTCTGTAATATAAAAGACATTTAATCCAGTCTGTACAGGAATTACAGTTTCTATTTTTTCATTCCCCTGAGGGACAGGATATAAAGAAATGAAATTTCAACAGTTTGTCTTAACACAGTGAGCAGAAGTGACAGACAGTGCAACCCAGCTCTGTACTGCAGAACTGCCACAGGGCAGGAAGCTTTCCCACCAGCATACGTTCCTAACTGCCAGTTGTACGGTTGTAAGCACCTTTTCTTGATCCAATGAAGAAATTGGAGGTACAAAAATATGAGCCAGCAGTCTAATTATAATCACCCATACTGGAACATCTTGGCTGAAAACATTCCAGTGACATTCTAGCTGATGACAACAAGAGCCAGAGTTGTGGCAGCCTTTCAACAAGTGTTAGTAGCTAGAGAGTTTACATTTCATTCTTACAGTAGCCTGATGCTTTTTCAGCTTGGATATTTGTTTTCCTTTCATCTCCATTTGTTTTACAAGGCAATCCAGCTCCTGTTCCAGGTCTTCACGAGCTTGGGAGTCCTGAGTCTCCTGTATCTGCTTCAGAAGTTCTTGAAGCTCCCTATTAAAGACAAGAATAGCAATCTAAATATTCATGATACAGTCTCTAGGATTTCTTCCTGCAGGATTTCCTAGCCATTTTGTGCAGAGTACAGAAATTTAGCATTATTTCCACTCTCACACAATACACATTAATCTGGAATATATTAACATGAGAAAGGGAAAAGGTCTTCCCGTGAGTCTGATTTTCTCATTCCAAATTTTTAGCTGATGTCCATCTTACTTCTCCTTCTTCCCACAGGCATAACAACTACATGTGTAATACTGTGCAAAATGAGATTTTTGAAAGTGAACAGCAGCTATGCAGTACAACATTTTCACCTCCTGCCAATTTAGCACAGCCTTTGAAGGCTTAGTGTAATACATGAAAGTATTTTTTAAACTAGTACATTCAAGTTACAATTTTTCTGACAAATTATTCAAAATAAAATATTACGCTCAGAAAGACTTACAGCAAAGTGGGCTGCTTAATTAAAATAAGCCGATTAAGTAAAAGAAATAGTGTAGATCTTGATACTCAGATACTTGAACAGGTTGAAACCAGAGACCTCCTCTTAGATAAATAATCCCTTTACAAAGGTCAGAGTTTCTTTTCTGACTTCTGAGTAACTGCTTCTCCTTGACAGTTTAATTTAAGCAACTGGTTGTTGCTATTTAAAAAAAAAGCCTGTCTCTGAACTGCCATGAGTAAGCTAGACATCGCTTTTTGAACATTAGATTGCTTGCCAGTTTAAATTTTACCACATCAAGGATTTCAAATCAGTATCAACATCCTAACTGGTTTAATCAGCACATCCTCCCCTGTTCAAACCACAGCTCATCGTGTTGACGTGTCTGCTATGACCAGCTACAGAGCTTTGGCCCACAGTCCCACGAGCCTGCATTAATAGGAAGATGGCTAAGAACACAACAGGCTGTAATCCACATTTACGTGCATGGATAGAAAGATACATACGCTCCCATATGAAGTGTTAGCTTCTTCCACACCCTGCCCATTTTCTGGCAGGAGACTGTCCCTCTTTCACAACCCCCTTACAGGACCAGCCAGTTCTCCTGCTATCAACAAGCAAAGGGTACAAGCACCAGACTGACTCAGCACAAGGACCCGGCAGGAACACGGGTAAGGAAAGAACACGGAGTGAGTACAAAGGAACAGGAGAGATGTTGTGACAGGACTGTTCATGCCAGAGCTGTACTAATCCATTCTACCACCCAGACTGACTGCATCCTGCAGACCTACTCAATATCAGCACCACCTTTGCAGCCTTCTCCAGGAGAAAAATTTTGGTTTGCTCTGTATATCTCAGAATATGTTTAAAATGTCTAAAAAGCACAGGTCTGAAAGGCTTTTCATTTGCTGCTTTTTTAAATACAGAATGTGGAAGCAGAAAAACAAGACCAGTGAAACACAGAAAGAATTTTATGAATGAGAAAAATCCTACTAGTCAAGCCTGCTCATGTCATTCTGTCAATAAGCAGTCTTGTAGCTAAAACAGGCTAGACTCGACTACAGCACCCTGTTGCTTCTCAGGGCTACTGCTGAAGTCTCATTTACTGACAAACACCAGCGATGGGTACTCACGAGCTCATTTGGCCCAGCTCATCTTGAAAGGCCAACAGAAGGTCTGAAAAGCTCCTGGTGGCAGTGGGTGATGTGGAAACAGATTTTGAAAGTGCACTGTGTCCTCCTTGTCCTCGCGATGAGATACACGGATTGCGATGCTTCATAATGTGCAACACACTTTGTACATTTGCACTGACAGAATGGCTGGAGCTGACAGACTTAAAGAAGAATGATCGGTGGCTTACAGAAGTAATCAACAACTACACAGCCTTACTCAAAATGTAGATGTCACTTTAGTGACAACAGTGGTTTTCACCTACCTTCCCAGCCACAAAAGGTAGTTCACCAGCCTTTACATGTAATTGTGAAAGCTGCATTTTCTTCATTGTAGGATTTCTCTGACATAAGAAAATATAAGAGAAAAAATTCCAATCTGCTCACTCAAGAGTACAATCTTAAACTTTTTTTTTAATAAGTAAAATTCAAGTAAATACACAGTGAAATGCATCACCTCAGTTTCCTTCTGGTTTAAAAAAAATTCCCTCCTGTATATGTAACAAATAAGACTTTCCAACAGCTGACACAAGTAAATTTTATTCCATATGCATGTAGGAGATTGTTTAACAATTAGGCTAACATTAAAGGAATTGAACCTTTTTTACTTATGTTTTCAAAACCACAATTGAAAAATTTTGACTGATCTGTAACATGTGTTGCAAAATAAATTCTCTTGATTTCAGTAATCCCCCCAAAACACACCACCTTAAGATGCTGAGCTAAAACTCCTTTGGAAACTAATTTTGCCAGATAAACTGAATGGAAGCTAAGACAGAACATGGGGGATGGCAGCAAGACTCTAACAGAGATAATTGTCAAGCTGATAAGGGAAGCTTTTCCAGTGATGTCCTACCAGCCCCAGTACCATTTTAATTAATGAAGGAAAGAAAAAAAGAGGGAAAAAAAGAGTTATTTAGCACTGTTTGTCACTTTAGAAGTGGAGTAAAGTGCAGCAGATTAATCAAGTGCCTCTTACATGACCATTTTTCACAAATTCCAGTCTCTGTGCGAGTCAGATGTTATCAGCAACAGTATGCTAATAAAAATTTCCACATTACCTTCCTAGGTTTTTTGTTCTTCCCATTTTCCTTTTCAGGTTCATGTTGAGATGTTACCGAAGACACCAAAATTCTGTTCATATCAAATCCTGTTTGAAGCTGTGGCAATAAGCAAAAAAGAAAACAGACGTTTAATGTAATATTAGAAGTATGAAATATCAAGTTTTAATTAATTCTCTTGTTCATTCATGGATAAGAACCAATTAAGGGCACTATTAATTGCCCTCCTTGGAAGGTATAAGATACTCTTAAAACCTGAACAGATTACTAGGAAGGCAGGGTATCAGGCAGATCCTGCAGCTCTGTCTTAGTATTCCTCATTTTCATATTCAGTTGCAGCAGCAGCTGTATTTTTCCACTGTGACAACCAGCAACTGAGATAAGCCAATCCTGCCACATGCTGACGATGTGATCATAAAATCTAAATTATATGAACATTTGGCTCCTACAATCTGGGGACAGAGAGAACTAAGCCTGTCTGTGTTACATTGAGGTCAAACCTGCTGGACAGTCCTCATACTGCTCGGTGGTTCGAAGTTGCTATGAAGGCCCATGATAAACAGGATGATAATCATCCCCAATTAAACACAGGACAAGGGCTTTGGTTTGGCATGTGTTACAGCTCCAGCTGAACAACGCTGGAGGTCCACCACTAAAGTGAGAATATTCTGGCTTTTCTGTCATCAAGAGGAAGTGAACCACACCACACCCTGTGCTTCCCAGCTCAGACCCAACAGACCTAAATCCATCCTGCAGTATATTAAGGTGGTACTAACACTACTTTAGGACTCAGTTTACTGCATCTAAGTCCTTTCTTGACCAAATGTTTAGACTATCTGCTCTGGGAGAGTCATTCTTACCATGTTTCACAGAAGATAAAATCTCTGTACTAGGCCTTTTGCTCTGCAGCAGCATGCAGTCTAAGCAAGAAACCAAAAAACCTACCAGTTTTCAACTTGTCATTCTGCTAGATTCTGGAGGTGGTCAGACATCTGGGCTACAAATTTGCATGTTATTTAAAGCTTTCTGGGTTGATGAAAACCTATCATCCTTGGATGAGGTACAAGAGCTGACAGCAGTGATTAATTAAATTAAGGCATCAGCTTTGCTTACATTATTCCAATATTACTCTTCAGCACTGCAGCCCCCACCTCACCCCAGGGGAATTCCCCCACAAATGGTCTCTCTTTCAAGCTGGCTACTACTTAGGCACAAAGTGAGTTTTGGAATATGACGACCTTGCTCCTTTAACAAAAGGTTTCATAATTTTGCTCTCTTTGGCGAACAGTCCTCTCTCAGATGGACGCTGGCTCAACAAACTGATTATGGCTTCACAGAATAATGAATTATACAAGATCTCATTTGATGAACAACATATCACTGAATAAGTGTTTTCCAAGTACAGCCCTATGTATTAGATTTCTAAAGATCTTAACAAAGGGAGGAAAATAAACATAATAAACAATCTCACTTGGTATATATGGTTTCCTATGTGACCACTTTTGAGTTACTGAAAATTAAGTTAACCTGATTCAGTTACAGATTTTCTAGAAATTAATTTTCTACCTGGGTCACTTAGAGCAGTGTTGAGGCTGATGAACTGTATCACTAATACAAACCTAAGTAGAATCTTCATTGAAATATACAACACACCTGGCAAGCTTTCTAATATGTAGCTTATAACTGATCTAGGTAGTATTTCAGAAGTTCTGCCTGGGTAATAAACACAAGGAGTTAAAACGTAATAAAACAAGAAGGGCATTTTGAACAGAGGGAATAGCTTTCTTCAGTACTAAAAAAGAAGATAAAATAAAATCTTTTCAGTCTACCTGAGCAATTTTATCTTGTATTAACTTATGCTGATGCTCTTCTTTACACAGCTTTTCTTCTAAGTATTTGATCTTGTCCTGAATTTGAAGGCAAGAATGATTAATCGCACTTCAATTTGTCATGCTGAATCAGAAGTCTGGAGGAGCTCACAACTGTATGTGGGGATAAAACTGGACTGTAGGAAATTCTAAAGCCCAGACTGAAAAAAGACTCATGCACATGAAGGTGAGGTGGCATTCAGTCAGGTATGCTTTAACAGAGGTAACTTTTGCAAAACTTAGTACTATTAATAGTATGCCATAAAATTATACCAAATAACTTTCAGACTGTCATTCCATGCATGCTTACTTCAGCAATTCTCTGAGTAGCAGTAAGTTTAAGACATTCTTTTTCTAGCATTTCAAGCTTTTCAAGTTTTGCATGCAGTTCCAACCGGTTCTGATCTTCCTCTTTTTGAAGCTGAGCCTGGAAAAAATAAGCAAGAATGGAGTTGGCAAGTGACTGAAATTGTTTCAGACAGCAAAAAAACCACCAAACCACCCCACACTAGAATAAAGGTATTTAATTAGTTTCAATTCCATATTTTTTAAATTGCAAAGTGATGAAAAATACCAGGCAGACAAAGACGACTTAAGCTTCCAGCAGCGTTTTTGTCTACCAAGTGTGCAAGTATTAGCATGGCTTTGCTCATTAGGAGTTCCACCCAGGGAGCTTTTCATGCACTTCTTTGAATGGTTGTCATCAGCCATACACTAAATTACTTCTGTTTGCTAGCAGCCTGAGCAGAGCTGAGGAAAAACATTGACCACAAAAAACTTCAGGTCCTGCACATTTCTATACTTTTGAACTATGTCACTACTTTGTTATTATGCTAAAGGGCTTTACCTGTTGTTCTAAAATCATTCTCTTTTCCAGTTCTGCACTGGAAACCATCTTTCTCATGTAATCCAGCTGTTTCTCCAGCAGGGAGCAGCGGGATTGTACTGCATTTGAATCTACAGAGAGAAATAAGACATTCAGTACAGCAAAGGGAGCTACACATTTAGCCGGACTGTCACGTCATTGAGGAATTCTCTGTCTTCAAAACAGGCAAGAATAGTTTTGTTAGTCTGAACAAGTAATGAGGTTTAAATGTATTTTATATAGAAGACATGAGAATCAAAATGTTTTTGCAAAGCTAGTCTCTAATTTGAATTCCAAAGGCATGAGCACTGCAGTTACTTTGATTTGTATCTGCAGATACCTAACCAGAATCTGAGAGAGAAGAATCTTTTCTCCTATCTTTTCTCAAGTTAGCAACAGTGTTATGTAAGCAGCTGCTTGCTTATTGTAGGAGCTAAACATACCACCTGAAACATGCTTAGTCTTTAAAATTGCTTTATGGCTTATGCAATACTCGGTTGATATATGTAAAAAAAATCTCAACTTTATCCACAATTATCAAGCTCCTGTCCCTCCTCAGTTCTGAAGCAAAAAACAAAAAGGGGCTGCACTAATTAGCAGTTTTTCAAAACAAAACACTCCCTGGATTATACAATCTTAGTGTTGCTGTGGCTACACCTTATCACTCCAAAGAAATACCTTTCCTCTGTTGCATCAGCTCTCGATGTGCTGCGTCCTTCTCATAGGATTTGTGCTCTAAGACCTTCTTGTACTGAGCAGCTGCTCTGGAGAGGCTGCACAGTTTATCTTCAGCCTGTGACTTCTCAAGCTCTAGGCGCCGGATCTTTTCTTGCAGAGATCTCAGGGCTGCCATTACAGCTAGCAAACAACACAACAGCTACACCTTAAGTAACAGTTCCTATTTTGATTATGATTATCATTATTAGAAAACACTTCACATTACAATGTACTACCTAAATTTTCTTCCTAGTATCACTCCCAAAATTAATTATATTCCCCAGCTGTACACTAACATATGCAGGACACATATGGGAGAAAATGGATGTGTTTCCTGCGTAACTGGGGTATGAAGCTCTGGCCCTATAAGCAAAACTATTTTCACTCCAAATGGCAGCAAGCACAAAGAAATCATGGCAAATAGAGTATAATAAACCCGGGGGCTTCTCTTTAAACAGAAGCAGAGAACACAGGTATCCAAGTGAGGTCATAAGTTTTGGTGTAAGGCAACTGGTCTGGAAAGATTAAAAAGAGAAAACATGCTCAGAACATGGGGAGAAATTAGATACAAAGGACAATTTAGCAAAGGATACATTGTTAAATACTTTATTGTTTCAAAAGGTAATGCTTCAACATCTAGTATCTAGTATGTTTTTGATGATTCTTTAAACCATGGAAACAAGTCTGGAAGATTTTGCTTTCAGCCTCAAATCAGTATGTGTCAAATTTTACCAAAAATAAAAGCTGCAATTTCAGCTACAAAAAAAAGTCTACTAGTTCATGTAAAGCATACACACCTGTGGAAGCTTAAGACATGTCCTGCAACAAGTCAAGCTTATTTTCTGACATTTTATAATTGACAGTTTCTCTATTCCAAACTCTTCCATCAAAAGAATACCATGAGATATTGCTACCTCCATAACAACTTTCACCATATTATCACAGATCCGTTTAAAAAACAAACAAACAAAACCCAAACCAAACAAAACCACAAAACAGCAAAAACTAAACAAGCATCAAACGAAAACTCAAACCCAAAAGCAAATACCAGAAAGCAGAAGGATGAAGTGGGACCACCTTTTCTGTTGCATTGCCAAACATTTCCTTAACCACTTAGCTACGTAGCACTAAACTGATCCCTGTAATCAAAAAAAGCCCAAACTCTGTATGAAATAAGATTACTACAGAAATCACAGATTTTCAGGCGAAGAACAATGATCACATGCATTCTCATAGGTTATGTCTGTGCAAGGTAGCAAAGTTGTCCATGATACTTAGTCCAAGTATGGGTATCCTTAATATTCCCCAGGCTCTCCAGATATGTTAAGCCACTGAGCATTTGCCTTGTGAGCTCCAGAGAGTAGTGATCCATTAAGGCACATGACAACCATATTTCATAGGGACTAACTTTGATGCTGCTAACTTTCCTGGGAGGCTGAATTGTTCAAAAGTTCTCCTAAGGAAATATGCCATGCAAAAAAAACCAAAAAAAAAACCCAACAAAATAACCCACCAAAAACCCAAACAAAAAAACCTCCCAAAACAAACAAGCAAACAAACAAAAAAACCCAAATGCTTAGAAGTGATTTTAAGCTGTAAGAAGTCAAATAGCACCATGCAAAGCCAATTTCAGGTCACGGTACCATACTAATGATCTTTGTTTTTACTGTATTTGAAGTCATGAACTACTTCTACTGAGTTTGAAGCATTCTCCTTTGCTTTCAGAGGAAGTCTGACAATTTTAAGTTAAACAAATTTCAAAGCCAAAGTTTACAAGGATGTTAGAAGATTTGCAGAGGTTTCCATTCTAGACGTATGACTTCAGGGAGACTACTCCCTCAGGACACATATACATCCTGTCTTAATGTCAGACTGATAACTGCAGCAAGTCATTGAACTCAGTCAAATAGGATGGGGAGTTTGCTCAAGAGATTTCACATGGAACAATTAAAAAGACTGTTTTAAGGACATATTTTGGCTATACCTTGGTTATTTGGGAGAGAAGGCTTGTCACCAGCAGCAGCTGCCAACTTCTTTGATTCTATATAAACAAAGGCTGCAGGAAGCCTCCAATCTGGTGGCTGAAGAAAGCTTCCTATGAAACTGTTCTTTGATTCAGAATCCATAGCCTGTAGAAAGAGAGACATTTAATGACATTATTTCTTTAAAAGACTCTTTTTCAGAAGTATGTCACTGGGCTGTTCCTGGCTCTGTTTATATCAAACCAGATCATGTACACCAAAATAATAATAATAATAATAATAATAATAATAATAGTAGTAGTAATAATAACAACAACATCAACAATAATAATACCCACACCCCACCAGAGGAATCCTGTCTTTTAATGCAATTCCAAAACAATGTCTTTCATAACACTAAAAAACATAGCTTCCTTTGACTGACCAAAATTTTCCAAGATTTTTCTAGGTGCTTTCTAAAAACTTGTGCTGATTTTTGTCCTTTAAAAACCCAAGTATCAGGAGCATTTTCTACTAACCGTTTTACAGACTTCAATGTTTTGACTCTAAGTGCTCCCTGCAGAGCAAACATTCCAGGTTTTACAGCCTATTTCCATTTGCAGCCTCCTTAGTGCTCCTCTTCCCATCTTTTTGGATGTAAAACCAAATTACATATGGTAAAAAATGTAACATTATTCCATAATAAAGACACAGTTCTCCACATTTAGTGTTGAGATAACAGGATTTAATATGCAACATCCCCAGTATTATCTCCATTATCAGGTGCATGTATTAAGTCCTGTTTCTTCACTCCCTTTCTGTTCCACCCTTTCACATTCTTTGTTTTATGAGAAGCACATTTGAAGACAGTTCACACCCTGTCAAACAGAAATTTTTCTTGATACTCAAGACATGAACAGTGAAATGTGCAGAAAGTGCTTTAGGCTTATACAACCTCTAGGAATTAAAGCAAGTTTGAAATCATCCTAGAGTGACCTGTCAAAGTAGTATCAAGCATTTCACTTGATACAGTGTAAGAAGAGAAGAGTCTATACAGGTTCAGCTAATAGAAAAACAGCTTATTTGAAGGTTCAGTGATAGAACAATTATGATTGTTTTATCACTTGTGTTTAAAATACAAGGCACAAAACTGGAGCAGTCTTCCTGCTTGGGTAAGGCTATTTTTACAGATGTGAGTCCCCAAGAAAATCACCCAAAGGAGGTATCTAGTAACAGAAAGAAGAAAGGGACCAAGACTATGGCCTGCTGATGAAGCACACCCCAGGAGAAGCCATTCATACTGGTGGGTGGCAAACAAAGGAAAATTTTTCAATAACAAAAAAAAAGTTTCTAGGAGCACTTGCAGCTCTTACAGCCTGTTTCAAAGGCTGTATAAAAAACCCCAAAATAATAATCTCCAGCTGCACTGCCTCTTCAAGGTATGCACTAAACTGAAGGTAAGCAGAAATCCTTCTTTCTTCCTCCAAACTGTCATCACAGAGATGTCAACATGAGCCCCTCTTCACCAGGGCTTGCTTGACCAGGGGTCTCCCAGCCAGCACCACTTTTGTGTGCTAACACTTTCAAGGTCACACCATTCAGAGCAGCCCCCCGGTCCCAAAGAGGGAGTCTATCCAGGCCACTCTCATGCCACAGGTCTTTTCCAAAGACTTCTCCATGGGGTCCTGCTGCCATCCTACTCAAGCCAGGCCACAAACACTTCGCCCTGGGTAGGCAGCAGCAGACAGCCAGGCATCCCACCATCACCTGGAAGATGTTCCCTCTGGTGATCCCACCACATTTATGGCTACAAAAGCTGTTTACAGGCCTCCCTACCTCTGTCCTGAAGGACTGGGAAAGACCATCCTGGGATACCTGGCCAGGTCTATCAACCATGTCCAACAGCACAAGGGGTAATGGCAAAGGCACAAAGCAGGGAGCAGCAGAAACCTCAAAACGTGGATGAGAAAGTCCTGTGGCCACAGAGGTGGTCAGGGCCAAGACAAGAGAGGAGATGGTCCTGGCATGGCACAGTGCATCAGCATGGAGTTCCAGAAAATAAGAGAGCAGCAAGACTTAAATATTTTCCTGCTGCTATTCAACCCCTTCACATTGGTGATAAAAAAGACCAGCAAAAAAAGTCCATAAAAATGAGCATATGGACAGGCAAGAAGTGCTGTGAATAAAAGGCAACTTTGGAAACAGCAGAGGAAGAGGGTGGTTTTTGCTTACACCATCCAACCTTCTGGCAGTCAGCATAAGTGGAGACTCACTTTTCCAACATCCTCGAGGGGAACATGGCTCCCCTGCATGCCTGCACAGCTACACATCAATTACTTTCCTTATTACTTTCACATAAACAAGTTCTGCTGTTTCCAAGGAGATGGGTTTGTGGACAGTTGTAAGGAGGGCAGTGATCCGAAGCAAATAATGAAAAAGGGAGGGAATAAAGAAGCAGAATATTTGAGAGTTTGTGGACAAGTTCAGTAATACAAAGGTGGGGGGGGGGGGGCATGGAGGACACCTATTTGGCAGAAAGGGAAATAAAACCCCTTTAGTGCTGCAAGTGAAACCAATGGGAAGTGAAAGAGAAGAGGCCAGCTCACCTGCCTGGTGGTGGTGGTGATTCAGCTAATCCGGTGTGGGCTTCAGCACAAAAACCCCAGAACTTAAATGTGAAAATAAACACCCTCCAGCTGGAGGGGGGAGCTCCCCGCACTGCTCCTAAAAGCACAGGCTCAGCAAAGGGTGTGAAAGAAAACACCAGAGGACTGAGACACCTGTGTTTGCAGAAACTCTGCTGCAGCCACAGTTAGGGACGCCTTACTTCACCACAGCTTCCTCAGATACAGAGCCTGTGTGGAGCAGCTGAGGGCATGGTTGCTATAGTGCTTTGAGGCTGTGTCAGCATAATTACTCTGGTAGAGGTGCTCTGGTGTAGACAAGTCCTAATGTCTCAGCAGGTAAATAGAGTTTATAGCAACCAAACTGCACAGGAGGAACGTCTACAACATTGCAGACCTCAGGCAAAGAGATGCACGCCAGGAAAAGGACCTGGTCAATCTACACCAGCAAGATATCACTAAACATCCTGGCCACTTCCAGCCCAATGCAACAAGAAACATATCAGGAAATAGTTAAGTAGTTTGACGTATGCTTGAACGTCAACTGTCCTACCACAACTTTTTCCCCCCCAAGTATTTAAGCTTCTATAAAACCACCACAACCAGGTTTGCTTTATAAAAAGTCTTATACAGCAAGCTTAAACCACTCTCTTATTTCATGGTGCTGCTGCCATGGACACCTGGTACACAGCCCTGGAGAGGTGCTTTAAAGCAGATATTGCTTCCCAAACAGCAATGTTTGTACTAATGTAACTCCACAAGGCTTAGGGGGATTTAGCACTTGAACAACACTCGTTAAAGCAGCCAGAATATCGTTGTTTAGACAAGCCCTTGGTTGAGGAAAGCAGTGCACTCCTTTGAATTTGGGCAAGAGCCAAGAGAGAAGTATGCATACTAAACAGAGGCTGTCAAAATACCCCAGTTACATGCAGAGGGGAGGGGAAGAAGGAAGAAATGCCTCACTCCCACCTCAGCAGCCTACACTGCTTTGGTGAGCAGGGTGAAGCACTTGTGTTGTGCAGGTTATATCTGGAGTCAACAGTGGCCCTCTGGGTTTTTTAACGGGAAATGGCAGGGCCTGTGTTGGTGGATGCAGTAGTGATGCTCAGACACCCAGTGTTATTTTACCCAGAAAACACAGAGTAACTGGTTCCAACACTGGCTGCATCAAGCATGGGCTAACTTAGTTCTGCTCATGGGCTTACCATGGGGCCCTTCCAACTCAGAATATTCTGCGATTAAATATCAGCCTGGGCAAGCCAGCTATGTTTTTCTCCATGTCTGAGCTAGGAGGCTCACGGAGCTCTGTGCCACACAGTTGCAACCCTGTGCATGGAGCGTGATGCCAGGCACAGCACATTAGCTCTGTAACAGCGCTGCATTAATGCAAATACTCTGCCCAGCTCTTGCTTTGCTGCAGCTGGAGTGCTCAGCCCTGGGGTTGTGAGCATGAGAAGGGCTGGTCCATTCAGTGGGACCACTTCTGCCTCTTGGCTCAGCACCACATGCAGGCTGAGAGTGAGCTTGCACAAAGTACGCTGGGGAGCAATCCCACCATCAGGTCCATGCCTGTATATGTGACATTCATGCCTGAGAAAAGAGCAAGCAAACTGGAGTTTGGTACCTTAAGACAAACAGAGAACTTCCCATTTCATCAGAGTCATCTAAGTACTAATACCATTTACCTTTATACCATTTCTGTTTACTATGGCCTGCAGTGAATGCCAGAGTACTGCATTGGATTGCTGTAAAAATCAATTGACATTTTAGTTACTGCTGTCTGGCCCAAGCAAGTATCCTAACAGTGGAGAATTACTGAACACAACTGACATCCCAAGTATTACAGAAAGATCACTTGTGACTTCTTCATCATCCTCCACCCCTCCCCTGTGTTTCTCCCCTCCAATGCAAGCCACTTCATTACAAAGTTTCAAAAAAATGTCTCCTCGAGTGAAAGGTCCAGAAACACTCTGCCACACATACAGTTATGTCTCATGTTGTAAAGCAGCATATGGAAAAGCTTTTTCCACACATAAACAATAGCAGACTTAGGTAATAATGCTGGCTTAAGAGTCTCCCAAAAGACACACTAAATGAATAATGTGATAATGTAAGGGATACTTCCACTAAATTCTCCGATATTTGCTATCTCACAGGGACACTGGTTCATTCAAATTGCTGTGACGGCAACCTTCTACAACCAAAGAAAGATATGCTGTCAGAACACCTTCAAAGAGGAAAAAGAAAAAGCAGATCAAGGCATTTTTCAGAAAGAAATACAAAGATATCTATCTTCTGGCCTGACCTACCAGGTATGCACAATTTATAGTGGCTTTTTTGATAACTGAAAACAAAGTCTTAGATGAGCCAAAGACTGATTCAGTCTTTATCTGACATAAGAGAAGTTCTAAAGAACTGCCCCAACACAGGTAATACCGAGAAGCTCCCAAAATTCTGGCTGCTGCCTTGTCTACTTGAGCCAAGTCTTGCTGGCTAATGGTAATGTGAGAAGCCATTTTTGTGACACAATCCAAACTGGTGTATTTTTTCCCCTTTCACTTTCCTTTGAGAACGGGGAGAAAAGCTTGGTCAGCTGTACTAGCTGTGCTGCAACACTCAGCCTTGTTCCCTGCAGACAAAGAACAGCCCTTCCACAGAGGAAAAAAAGAAATAAATAATGTTGTGGGCAAACGGCATTGTTGTTTTGGGAACACCCAGTCTCTAGCATCCTGACACAACCACTTTAATCAGCCTGAAACACATGACAATGCTCAGGACATATCTAAGCAGCTGATACTCCCATATCTCTTCTAATATAAGTGGGTTAGACATGAAATGGTGGCAGCTGCAAAACTAATAAGAAGTGAAACCTCACTGAATCAATAAAGCATTTCAAAGTGTTTTTTAAGTTTTGTCAACTTCCACTTTAAGTAAGTTCAGAGCAAATGGCAAAAATTTATTAGAGAAATTAAGGAACCTGGGAGTGTTTTGAAAAACCGACACAGCCAAATCCAGCTGAGGCAGTTTGTTGTACAAACTGTGAGATACACACTGGCAATCTCAGAACTGGATACATAAAGGTTAAATTTCCAGTCCCTTCTTTGATACTTTTGTAGCAAAGCCCATCAAGTCTTATGCAGAACTTTCATAAAATCATTGTTTTTCATTCTTGGAAGAAGAGGAAAAGAAAAGGCATTCTGTTTTCTCATGACACCATATGTACTGTCAAGTAGGACAAAACCTGGCATTTTAATAAAAACAACCCCAAACCACAAACAACCCAACAAATGCCCAAAACTCCTAAGATTTTTCACTGTGTCAGCATTTCACTTCTAAGCATTCACACTAATATTTCCCTAGTTCCTGTTTGCTCAGAGAAAAGACAGAACAAAAAAAAAAAAAAAAAAAGAGGAAGAAAGAAAGTGGAATGAGTTACACGAGTACTTTGTGAGCAAGGCAAAGAAACAACCTAGTGGAGAAAAAAACTGTGATTTTTAAACAATTTTTTGGGGAATAGATTCTAACCTGGCAATGTATCAAGCATGCAAACTTGGGTCAAAATATTATTAGAGTTTTGCTGTTTTCTTCAATGAGTACAGCAGACCAAATTCCTCATCCAACTGGGCCTTCATCCAAAAGTACATGATACACTCACAATCAACCCTTGGTGGGGAAATCAACTTGGTGTAAATTGCTTTAACCTCTACATGCAGATGATAACTGAACTTTAGAGGAGCAAGACTGCAATTCCTACCTAGAAATAATTGCTATCTTAGCATGAAAACATTTAGCCTGTAATATGGTGCTATCAAAATAATTACATTTATATATCTTTAATCAGTCCAAAGCAATTAAACATAATCTTTTTGTAATGAGCATCAAACAAAACCCAAATACTGTAAATGATCACTAATACACTTCCTCACTTCACCCACAGTTCTGTTCCTCTTCTTTCATTTACCTTCTGTTACATATGGGGTTTGTCCCTCATCTCCTCTCTCTTTATTGTATTTACATGATCCTATAGCTTTGTTCCTTGCCCTTTGCTATTTGGTATTCTTTTTATCCTACTCCCTCTTCTAGCACAAAAAACTAGGATTTTTTCAAAGTAAAAATACCCACTTTCCCCCCACCCCCCCAAGATTAACAATCCAGTTTATTCCTTTTATGCTTAAAATCCAGAGATGCTGCTTGTCCTTAGTATACTGACTGATGTGGAAATTGAAGGTGTTCTCCTCATACTCTACATGAAGAATGGAAAAGGCTACTTTTTCTGTCTTCTGTTATTTTCTGCTGATGCCATCACACAATCTTCCGTATGTAGTTTCTTTAGTTTGGTGTATCTTGATAGATTGGAAGGCAGGAAGAAATTACCAGCTTTGGCTATATACCCTTGGAAAAAAAAAAAAAAAAAAAAAAAAAAAAAAAAAAAAAGAAAGGAAGGTTTGCTGTTGTGTAAAGGGAAGGTTTTGAAGGGTAACTGACTCCAGTATAAAAGACTGTATCTGTGCACAGGCAGAATAATTAGATATTAGAAAGGCAAATGCAAAAAGGAAAAGGCACATTAGGATAGGGTAGGGCAAATATGAGGGTGGGTTGAAATGACAATCATAGTGAAGAAATATAAGAAGGTAGGGGATGATTATTGCAGGTGTTGACTCATTCACAGTAAACACTTTTACTGCATGATAATTTTTACCTTTTATGTCCCAAATATTTAATGGTATCACTGAAAGATGGTTTTGAACGTTGCAACTTGCCCTCTAGGCAGATGAAACACACAAATTGTGCCCCACTGTTGCCTTGGAATTTATTTTTAAAGTAAACTTCTGTTTTTACCAATACTTTCTCAGGGAAAGTGTCAAGTCTCTTCATCCACTATCCTTTAACTTAGCCTGAAGATGGAGTAGGAGGTAGATTTTAGACAGATAACCACAAAAGCTTGACATGGATGAGCAAAGAAACACAAAGAGGGTGATTATTCATAGGATTTGTCTCTTTTTACCAACTACCACGCCTACATTTTTTTCATGTATTCCTGTGCTGCCGATAGCTAGGCACCTGGCAAGGAACAAAAACACCATTCTGCATTTGTACATCAGGCAGCCTAAGAAACAGAATGAGGAAAAAAAAAAAAAAAAAGTTAGCAAGGAAAAGAAAAAATTAGTTTCTCTACAAGCAAGAAGTTATTCCCAAAATCATATTTTGTCTGAAATAGTTGCCTTGTAATATGCAGAAAAAATGAAAGCAATTCCTCGAGTAACTCTTCGATCTTATTTTGGAGACCTATTTTGTTGAAGAATGGTTTTTAAAAATATGACCTGTTTACATGACCCAGAATAATCACAGCAATTCTAACATTCACATTGCACATCCTGAACAGGCACACTATTCTAGGTATTAATGCCAAATAGTTTGTATTTCATATGGTATAATCAGTATTCAAAAATGTAGAAATGGTTTTATCACTACTTCTACCCTGAGTTGCCAGGGGAAACTTAAAACTGTCAAAGGCATTACTTGTTTCATATAATCTGTATATTTAAACTTGCATGGCTTTGGAGATACAGAAAAAGCAAATCTGAGTAAGATGCTACAAAATCCTGTGCAATGTTGCAGGCAGAAAACTAACTTCAATTGATTATAAAGTTTTTAATAGGCATTTCTTCCCTATTAATTATATTCAGTTTTGAATGCAAATAGTTATGCATATATGAAGGAAATTTAGTGGGTCTCTAGGTTCTTGACTCCAATTCTTGTCATTCTGTGTGACCTTAATAAATCAGAGGGTTGGGACTAATAAGGATGTTTCAGGATACATGAGCCTTTCAGCCTTGGGGCTGAGTGTGCTAATGACAGGCTTAGTTCCCTGCATGAAAGAAATGCAGGTATAGATCCAAAACAAGCAGCACACTCAGTGAGGAGCTAACAAGAGCTTTGTTTCAGGGTGAGGAAACTCTATGAACATAGACGTGGGTGAAGTCCCACCCTGGTGCTTGGCACCTTTATCTTCTTTGGACTCAGAATTTGGAGTCCTCTTCTGGCAGTGAGTGCCAAAATCTGTTCTTTAAAACAATGAATAAAGAGTCCCTGTAGCTTTTCTGGTCTGTGACTTCAGTTCATGTGGCTGCTGGTCACAGCATTTTTCTTTGTGTTATTGCTGGAAAACACCAAGGTCGGTGTTAACAGCCTGCCAAAGGTGCTTATAGGGCCTTTTGGGCTGTCAGCAGATATGAAATTCCCAGTAAGCAACGTTCCTTTTCTTTTAAAGTGCAGCTGGAGGAAACAGTATCCACCTTCTCTGTGCTGCTACCCAGTGGTCAGAGCATTGGCCAGGAAGTGGGAGTTCCTGGGGAGCATTCATGCCTCATCCCTGACCACCATGCTAGACTGGGAGGAGGAAGAGCAGGAAGGAAACAGGGAGTCACCACCTTTTCGTTTGAAGTTATGACCCTGCTCCAAAAAGCATGTGTGGCTCGAACAAGGACAAGGCAGCTGAGACCAAAGAGCACAACACGGAGGTGTCTCTCTCATCTAGTTCAATCATCAAAACAGGGTCCTGGGGTTAATTTATGCATTTCTGCAGTAACACTGGTCTGGGGAAAGTTATCAGAAACCAGGAATAAGTGCCTACAGATCCCTATGTCTCCTTCCTTCTAGCTCACACTAGTGTCACACATTTGCCATCCTTTCCAGTAGGGCACAAATTCACCAAGTGAGGTGATAAATAGTTCCCTTTTGTTTTGCAATCCTCCTGAGCACCTGGGACACTCTCCTGGTAGTTAGGAGGTATTGATGTAAATGCCTTCGAGCTAAAAGGCAATTCTTCAATCCCTGGGTTACAGTACTGAAGGTGAGCACTCTACCAAATGCTGCCAGGCATTGAAGCCATCTGTGCCTGCAACAGAAGACCCTGACTTGTTGGGCTTGGAGAGGTTCCACTCAGCAGGACTTCTCTTAGAGCTGCTCCACCTACTTCCTAAACCACAAATGGGAACAAAGAGGAGACAGGTTTCCACGTGCCCAGTTTGGGGCAATTCTGAACACTTCTCTCCAGAAAGAGATTAACAAGAGTTCAGGTGGCTGCTCAGAGGAGATTTTCAGAACTGCACTTTTAGTTTGCCCATACTGTTTTCCTGGTTCTCAGTGTTTCAGGTTACATTTATACAGTTAAGTGGCATGTAGTCAGAGAATTGGCAACATCCAGCAGGACTTTAAGTGGCTGTGGACTTTAAGTAGCTCTAGCTCTAGTTCATAGCCCAGCTCTTCTCAAAGCAACCCTCTCCCCAGCATAAACTATTTCACAGACTTTATGCATGGAAGATTTGGTCTCCTAAGAAGAAGCTGGTGTCTAATTTCCCCATCCCTGCTGTATTTGTGACCTCTAAGGAGGGAGGGTGGCAGGGTTTGGTGCAAATGTACGCCTGCAACACATAATAGAGCAGAACACATTAGATGTGCAAACACATGCTCAGAAGCAAAAAAAGGCCACATCTCCTCCCAAACAGAATGGTTTGGACTTGACACCAAACTTGACCCTGGGTTCAAAGGCAGTAGAGGAGCAGCCTCTGGCTTTTTGGTGTCTCTTTGCAAAACAGCAGTCACAGAAGTTTGTTTTCTCAGAGGGTAGCTGTGAAGAAAAATGCATTTTAATCTGGAGTGCCATTTATTGTGGCAACATGCCAAAACAGATCTAAAAAGGGAGGGTGAACTTTTTGAAGAGTCATCCCATCCTAGGTATTTAGCAATTGGAATGAAGTAAGCCTTAAGAAAACCAGGTGTAAAGGAAAACAGTTGAAGGAATTTAATTTAAAAAGCAGTTCCTTCTAGACTGCACAAGTTTTACTGTGTTCTTATTAGTGCTCCAGTATTTGACTACATGCATTATTGAGTAAAGTGCTCTTTTGTAACATACATAAACTGAAATGAACTTTTAAAAGTAAATATATTTTAGATCTTTTATCTTAGAAAGAACATTAATACAATTACTAGATATTGTATTTTCAAAAATAATTCTGCTGTAGGATGTCATCTGCATATGGCTATAGAAGTCCTTATCTGGTTAAAAAAAAAAGGAAGTTGATAAATCATGAAGGAAGGAAATACTGAGGTTTAAAACAGCCACAAATTTGTTTTTCTTCAGCTTATCATTTTGAAAACTCAACTGCTGTAATTCTGGATGAGTTGCCAGATTGTTTCCTTCATAATTCTGCCTCTCTCTTATCCATTCTTTAGGGATCAAAAACAAGCATATTAACTTCGGGCTGTGAACACGCAAATCAAACAAACACATTCCCCTAACTTTGGGCTCTGATTAATTCCACTGGTAGCCTTTGACCTTGATTTCCACAATGTCTTGCAGTGCATAAAGAAGCCTGACCTGGTATCAGAAAACTGCAGAGATTTGGTTTGGAAAAAAAATAAAGCCATCCTCATCGCTATTCCCTAAGTACTACATTAAAATCTATAAAACAAAGGGCTGAAATCTGAAGTTTAGGCCTTGGAGCCAGTTTCACAATCTGTTTCCTGTAGCCAGAGTTCATTTGGAGCCAGTGGAAAAAACAGCTTCTAAAAGATAAAAGGCAGTGCTGTGACTTTCAATCAATCTTGGCATTCAGTGTGTGAATATAGCTGTACCAAAGTCTAAAACACGAAATCTCCAGCTCTGATTCTGGTTCACTCTTCTGATCTTGGATGTGTGTTGTCATTGTCAGAGACACCCAACAACTCATGATGGGAAAAATAAGATCTAGCCGACTTCAGGAGATCAAGATCTAGATAGAAATAAAGCAAACAGATGTGACATGCCCATTCACAGGAAAATAATGAGTGACAACAGAATGGGATGGGAAGCTGAAGTGGCAGCTAATGTAAAAAACAGAAGAAACAAACAAAAAAACCCCGCCAACAACATAAAAGGCACGGGCAGAACTATTTGCTTTGAACCCATCAGTTATGGTGGGTGGAGGCCTGGAGTGCTCAGAGAAGTCAGGACTCACTTTTATTACAGGTAGTGCTGATTTCAGCAGATACATTGTTCACCAGGGTGCCAAAGGCCTGGAGGAAGCAGCTGCGTGAAGCAGTCCAGGCCTGTCCACCCTCCTGAACAATGGCAATGCAGCCTCCTTGCAGAAAGGATTTTATGGGAAAAAACAGACTGGTCTTCCTTCTAAGGTACAGGTAAATGCAAGTTGGAAGAAACTGTTCCAGAAAACAAAGGGATGGCGGATGAAGAAATCAGATTCTTTACAAAGAAGAGAGCTGACGATGGATGGTGTTGGTGAGCCAGCCCAGGCTCTGTTCCTGGACTCAGAAGTGGTTTCTGTGTTTTCTGGGGCATAAGAGTAGCTCGTTCTGCATTTACCTTCAGTTTTGACATCTGAATTTTAGAGCGGGAAATGTGTACGTGAGGAGCAAAAAATAATTATGCAAGACCCTATGCAGGCTCAATGTCCTGTTTCTAATTTACTCCCAAGTATTCTTTTGCCTTTCTGTGTACTCAAAATTTTAGTTTCATGATTGTTTCAATGTGACAGCTGCAAACAGTTCTGCCCTTGTTTTCTTCTCCTCTTCTCTGCCAAGAGGTGAAGTGGATCAAGGAACTGACTTGGCTGAAAATTAAAATTTATCATAAACAGCCCTTTTTTTTTTTTTTTTTTTTTTTTTTTTCCCAGCAGGAAAAGCAAGGAAAGCAGCAATACCAGCTTCTTTAGTGACAGATTACACTCAATCACAGCACGGGGATAGAAAGTCCACAACCTCCCTGGGCAACCTGTGGCAGCGCTTGGCCACCCTCACAGTAACAAATGTGCTTCCTGATGTTCCCGATGTTCCGAGGGACCCTCCTGTGCTTCACTTTGAGTCCCTCGCCCCTGACACTGTCATCGGGCACCACCGAGAGCACCCCGGCTCCATCCTCGCCGCACCTTCCCTCCAGGCACATATAAATGTCGGGATTTATGGGCGAGTAAGATTCCCCCCGAACCTTCTCCAGCTTCATCAGCCCCTGCACGACTGGGATTTTTAAAAATCCCCTGGGATTAATTTGGATAAGAACACCGCGGAACTGTTGCTCAATGTGAATATTCCGGGGATTTCCCCGCCCTCGTCCCCATCCCTTCTTTATCCCAAGTGCTGACGGGACTGTGTTTCCTTAGCACAGACAGATCTTCCGTTCCCGCCGACGCGCTTACTTAGGGTACACCCCAGGACTGCTTCACCCCCGGCTGCCGCCAGCCATCGGCGCTCCATAACTCTGGGATGGATCGGAAAATCCTCCCAAACCCCTATCAAACAGGATGACGGGAATACCGTGCGCGCACCCCTGCGAGCGCTAGCGCTAGCGCTCCCCCTTCCCTGGCAGGATCCCGGCAGAATCCCGGCCGCGCGCCGCACTGCCTGCCGGGACACGTAGTCTTCCCGCGCGAGGGCCGCCGTACCGCCCTTTGGCCGGACTACAGATCCCAGCAGCCCCTCCCGGAACTGCCGCTCCCCGCCGCGATTGGGCCCCCCGCCTGCGGGCGCTGAAAGACGATTGGCTGAGCGGCGTGTCTGTCGTGCGGATTCCCCGTGCTGGGCGGGAGTATTTGCCCCCAACCCCGAGTGAGGGGACTGCCGGGGGTCCGTGGCGGCCCCGGCGGGGAGGGCTGAGGGGCCGCCCCGGGAGAGGCAGGGCCGGGGCCGCCTCTTCCCTCCATGCCCGGGGCAGGGAGGAGGAGCCGCCGGCGCCGCGGGGTGGTGGCCGCCCCTCTCCCCGCCGGGAAAGGCGAAGCCGCAGCGGCGCCGCTCGCTCGGCAGCCCCGGCGCGGGAGGGCGGCGGCGGCTGTCGGGGGCACCGGCCCGCGCTGCCCCCCATGCGGCGCGGGCAGCGGGCTCTGCGCTCGCCGCGGCCGCGCTCGTCGTCGTCTGTGTGGGCGGGCTGGCGGCTGCCGGGAGCCCGCCATGGGGCGGCCGCGCCGGGGCTGCTGAGGAGGAGGAGGAGGCGGCGGCTGCGGCGGGGGAGCAGCGGCCGGGCGGCCCCATGGAGGAGCGGGAGGGCGAGGTGCGCTGGGACGGGCTGTGCAGCCGGGACGCCGCCGCCCGCGCCGCCGCCCTGGACACCATCGGGCAAGCCGTGCTCCGCCGCGCAGAGAGCGTCGCCTCCGGGGCGGCCGCCGACGGGCTGCCGGTGCCCGCCGCCCGGGACGGGCTGGGCGAGGCGCTGGCCCGCCTGCTCATGCTGTCCAAGAGGTGCCCCTTCCCCGACGTGAGGGAGAAGAGCGAGGCGATCCTCAGCGGGGTGCAGGTGAGCGGGCACACCATCCCTTCGGCTTTGGGACCGGGGGCTCTCCCGGCCCCGTCCCACGCAGGGCGCCTTCGGGTTTCATCTGTGCGACGAGGTGGGTGTCTGATCCGCCCTGTCAGATTTATTCCTGCAATTAATACGTGTTAAGTGCTCTCCACCTCTATGGCTCTCTTCCCGAATGAACATTTGGAAAAAAACGTGATTGAAAGGCGGGGGGGGGGGGGGGGGGGATGGAATATCTCACTGAAGACACTCAAAAAACACCTGGATGTGTTCCTGTGTCACCTGCTCTAGGTGACCCTGCCTTGGCAGTGAGGTTGGACTGGATGATCTCCAGAAATCCCTTCCAAACCTAACTATTCTGTAAGAAAGCACGAAGTCTTTCAGTGGAATCCACCAGAGAGGATTTGGCAATGAATGGCTGGAAAGTTGGGGCATCCCCAAGGAAGCACTAAAATAACAACTTTAACGCTCTAGTTTCAGTCTGTATGATCAGTGCTGTGGTATTACCCGATTAACTTTAACAGAAGTGCAGGAAGGATTTGGGTATTGATATTAGTGTTGCCAATTGAAAATATAAATGGGAAGTCTTGGAGCTTTTAAAAGCCATATGAGCTTGTTGTTAAGGCAGAGCCTGTCAGAATGCCCTTCTTGTTGTTTATTGGTAAATAGCTTTTCCACTGGCATCGATAGGATCCAAACTATTTTTTTTTCCTAGCTCGTAGGCAGCCTAGCCAATAGAGGATTACATTTACTGACCTAATGCTAACAAAAATAAATGTTACTTTGTACTCTTCCACTCTTACGGTCTAATTATAGTTACTTGCATTGCGATTGTCTTGCTCACCTCAGGTTTTTGCCCGGGTCTTGGAATTCTTGTATCAACGGGTCCAGCAGCACGGCTAGAGATGCTACTTTTAGCTTTGCAGAGTAGGAAAAGGAAATTCGGGTGTTTCTTTTAATCACAAGTGAATACAGAGAGCTGTGCTTGGAGATAGCTGCCTGATTCTCACTACTGTGCTTTAACAGGTTGAATATAGGGAAATCCAGGGAAACGTAATAATATATGAAAGTGCTAAAACATAATAATAATAATATATGAAAGTAGATAAAATAATTTATACATTATATGCATAAATATGTATAACATAAAAACCATTATATGTTATCATATATACATATGTATAGAAACACATTCTTAATTTGAGTTACTGGAGTGAAAGAGTCTCTGTTTATTTTGTCTAACTTCTCGGTAGTGTGCAATGTAATAAATACAGTGTAACTTACTTTACCCAGTTTAGGCTGTGTGTGGAGTTTTTCTCAAAGCTCATGGTTTCACATGGTTTAAGTGGAAAGTTTGACAGCTCTTCTTTAAAAACCGAAGCCAGTGAAACAAACAACGACCCAAAACTTGAATACTGAGTTGAAAACTTTATCTGGCTTTTTCCCTGTTAAAGGTTCATAAGAGAAGTGAGTGTTACCAGTGAGAATGATGAGTTACTGCAACAGACTGCTAAGGGAAGACTTGTTTTTGCCAGGTTCAAGATATCAGAGTCTATTCAAAGGCCAAACAGATGGTGATCTCTCACCTAAATTTTGGGGTGAGGTCAGAATACAGGACTGGATGACTCCCTTTTAGTTTTTATGTATTTGTAGTAAGTGACATGTTCAGCTATTAGTGTGGTTTAGAAGCTTTGTTACTAGCTTTTTTTTTTTTAACTAGGCCAAAAAGTTCTGGCAGAAAATGTCCATCTTGATACAGCAAATGCAAGTTCAAATGCCGTGGTCCTTGCTGGTTTGATTAATAAACATAGGTGTGAAAGGTTTACTAGCTGTGAAACCAATTGTATACACACAAGGTGCAGCAAAAGTTTTCCAGCAAGTTAAGCAAAATAAAATAAAATAGAACATTATTTTAAGAAAAATTTTAAAAGCTGCTTTTGTAAATTTTCCTTTTCAGAAGCAGGGATCTAAGAGAGAAGTATTCTCTATTTTATTAATTTAGAGCAGCAAATCTTAGTTCTTGTGTCTGTACTCATAAATGAAAATTTTCATTGTAATCTTTGGAGAATTGTTGGAGAAATAATCCAGTGCAAGTGTTCTGTTTTGGGTGCTGAGGACTATTATCAGGCATGAAATGGTTTTCTGTTGATTAATGACCAAGAATAATATTATTCAGATCTTTGCAGTGAAGATGGCAGATAGAGCAAACTATTAAATTAAATATTTTTATTTTTATTAAATATATTTAAACAGAACTGGTGGCTTTCAGCAGTGCTTCCAAAGGTTAGTAACATAAAAACGTGCAGTCCCATTCAGGACAGCATCAGCACTTATATTACTTTATCTCCCTGTTTTGGGATCTGAAACAATACTGAAGTCCACAGCAATTTGTACAATTATGCTGTCCAGAGTTATTAAATGACATGGGACCCAAGGCAGGAGAGGCAACTTTGAACCCAGAAGTTCTTCTGTGAACTGGGGCTCCTCTCATTCTCTCACCTGTGGAATGGTCCATCCCAGACTAGAACTCTGAGCCTGGACTCATATATTTCTTTTTATTCCTGCCCACCCCGGCTGCCTCAATATGGAGAACTGCAAAATGCGCTTTATTCATCTTTGATTTGCTTCCAGCATAAATCAGTGAGGAAATAAAAGATTAGAATTTTCCACGTGGTCTGATTGCTATTTCTTTCTTTGAGTTAGTGCCCTCTTGCCTGTTGGGGCAGTCAGCAAGTATTTAGGCATGAGCAACTGGTGCTCCTGGTGATTTTGCAGCTTTGTGTCTGGAGCAGGTTGGTAGAATGCATTATATGGCTGGTGTAAGCAGTCTGTGTCAGCGTGGCATCCCTCTAATCCTGCCTTTTGTTATGTTTTGGGGTTTTTCCCCCCTGGATCAAAATTCCTCTGATATATGGTGGACTGCTAAGTGTACAGCTTTCTTCTTTGCTATTAAGAAGTAGAATTAATAATGATATTATTAATAAATAATATTGCTTGTGTCAGAATCTATAGAATTAATTACTGCTTAATATAAATTCCCATTGATTTGACTTCTTTTCAGGATAATGAGTTTTCTCATTGTAGGCTATATGTCTGTATATGTATAATAACATTTTTTTTTTTATCTGAGAGAATACATCTGTTTTCCTATTTAGAATGAGTTGTTTTTGTAAGGGTTATTATAAAGATAGTGTCAGCAAATGAGTCCCCTTTTTTCTAATTTTTGCTTTTATTAATAAAAGCAAGTTCCTAAAGCCACTTTGACCTCAATAGATAATTTAAAAAATGTTTTAAAGATATTTCAATTGCAGTGCTTTAACCAAGTGAAAACAGTTTCAATGTTTGCATTTGAAAATGTTTGATGGATAGTTTTTGAGGTAAAACCCCCAATATGTATCATAGGCTCTTGGTAAATCCTTGCTCATGGGGTGTGTTGCATGTATTTATAGCATAGTGCCTATGACCTTGCAGAGTAGTGCGTCATTGCTCCCGGTGTGCTGGGTGTCCGCACACCAACACAAATATATTGGGAAAGAACAGCAGTGGAATGTCTAAACACATGCTCATGAAAAGTCTTCTGCCAGCCTCTGTTGGATCAATCAGTAATGTATGAGTGGAATATAAATACAAGGTGTCTGTCTGTAGATGGAGAAGAATCACTGAAAGGATGAGATTTGATAGTTAAAATCTCTTCTAACCATTCAGTGGAGAAAACTCAGCAGAACATACTGCTCTCCATGGGTGTGTAAATTCATTCTCTTCATAAACAAAGAGAATACAGAGATGGAGGGCAGGTTCTGCAGGTGCAACAAGATGCTAGCCTACATAGGATAAAA